ATATGGGATGGGGTTGCAGAAACCTATTCACAAAGGGAGAATGTTGCTAGGGCTTATCAACTGAGAAATCAGATTATTGCTACAAGGCAGGGAGATAGATTTGTTGCAGCCTATTTTTCAGCCCTTAAGACCCTATGGCAAGAGATTGACCATTTGGAGGCCTTTGCTTGGGAAACCACCAAGGATGCAACTACTTATCAGAGACATTTAGAGAAGTATAGGGTGTTTGAATTCCTTGCTGGCCTTAACCCTGAGTATGATATTGCACGACAGCATCTTCTTTCCAGGGATAGTGTCACTCTCTCCCAAGCATATGCTTTTGTGTCAGGGGAGGAGTGCAGGAGGGATGTGATGATGAAAACCCAAATTTCTGATCAGTCCGCCATGGTAAGTGCTGTAAAACCTAAACAAAGTGGCGGTGAAATCAAGAAGRAAGACAAAAGAGACTTGGTTTGTGACTATTGTAAGAAGCCTAAACATACAAGAGATACTTGCTGGAAGCTTCACCCACATCTTGTGCCGACTAGATTGAGAAATAAGAAGGGAAATGCACACATGGCAGTTACCGGTGACACTCCGGCCCCTCCTACTACAATTGCTTTGGAGTCTGTTGCAGCTACTGCAGTAAGGGCCGAACTTGAGAGGTATGGGCTACTTCTGAACCAGCGAGATACAACTAGTTCCAGTTCAGCCGCAAGCGGACAAGGTACAGGTGGCACTGGTGGAGCTCACTCTACCTCCTTTGCTCACACAGGTAGTTCACACGTCACTGCAAATTATGTTTCCACTTCAGGTAAGGAGGGACCTCCTTGGATTATAGATTCTAGAGCCTCAGAGCACATGACCCATAGCTCCACTATTTTTTCTTCTTACCAGCTCTGTTCTGGCAGAGATAGGGTCTCCACTGCTGATGGATCCCATGTTCCTATTTCTGGGAAGGGATCTGTCAAGATTAATGATTCTATTTGTTTACCCTTTGTCCTTCATGTTCCCAGATTGAGCACAAAGTTGTTATTTGTTAGTAGTTTGACTAAGAATTTGAACTGCTCAGTAATTTTTTCTCCTGGACGTTGTATTTTGCGGGATCTGGATTCAAAGAGGACGATTGGAAGTGGTCGTGAAGTGAATGGAATCTACCTCCTGGATGTTCCCCCTCACTAGAGTCATCATGTTAGCAGGGACAGTGAGTCAAGATCTATGAGTCAGATTATGCTTTGGCATAATCGTTTGAGCCATTTGTCTTTTTCTTCTTTGAGTTTTTTGTTTCCAAAACTTTTTGAGTCTGTTAGTCTGTCAAGTCTGGAGTGTGAAGGTTGTCAAATTGGAAAGCATTGTAGAATTCTTTTAAACCTAGTAATAAAAGATGTTCTTCTTTTGATGTTATTCATTCGGATGTGTGGGGTCCTTACCATGTTCCTTCTATGGGAGGCTATCGCTATTTTCTCCTATTTGTGGATGATTTCTCTCGATACTCTTGGATTTACCTGATGAAATCCCGCGATGAAGTACCATCCTTGGTGCGGCAATTTCATCAGATGGTACACACAGTTTAGAACAAGAATAAAGGTGTTCAGATCTGACAACGCCAGGGAATATTTTGAAAGACATCTTGCCTCGTACTTGTTAGAATATGGTGTTGTCCATCAGAGCAGCTGCTCCTACAGTCCACAACAGAATGGTGTTGTAGAAAGGAAGAACAAACACATTGTTGAGACCGCAAGAAGCATGATGATCACATCTACAGTTCCGGTTTGGTTTTGGGGTGATGCAGTTCTCACGGCAGTATATCTGATTAACAGGGTGCCTTCTCGCATACTTGGATTCAGCACTCCATTCAGCCTTCTTTTTCCTCAGGGGGAGATGTTTCATGTTCCTCTCAAGGTGTTTGGGTGTGTCTGCTTTGCACACATCCTTGGTCCTCACCGCTCGAGACTTGATCCCAAGGCAAAGAAGTGTGTCTTCCTTGGATATGCAGAGAATCAAAAAGGGTACCACTGCTATGATCCAGTCTTTGGGAACCGATATGTTACCATGGATGTCACCTTTTTTGAATCCACATACTTCTTCTCACAGAATCCTTCTCAGGGGGAGTGTTTTGGGGAAGTAAGTCAGYAGTCTATCCCTCTCCCAGTTCCAGTCCTTGTGTCACCTCCTGTGCTTGACCACCACCCAGTGCCACCTACCTTGCCACCTCCTTTGCACTCTGTTTCTCGGCATTACTCACGACAGAGACTTCACAAGGCGGTTGATTCCACTACAGCATAACTCACACCACTTACTGTCGATCCCTTGGAGACTCCAGATTCGGCTGATATGGATTCAAGTATTCCTCTTGATCCCGCTACTATTTCAGTTCCCATTGATCCTACTAACTCTGTTACCGATAACCTTGATCTC